AGCATCAACATAAATATAAATATAATTATAGATCTATTTTCTTATTTTCTTAGGTCCAAATTCACAAAGTATTTTGGGTACAATTTAATTTGTTTTGGGTACAAAATCACATATAGGAACCTAGAATCTATATATATTTACACTAGCCTACCTCGTTGTGTACCAAAGTTTTATCGGTTCAGAGGACGGGAGGTTCTCAGAAAGTTTTCAACAACATCTTTAATATTTAAATTGTTTCTTTTTGTAATGTTAGACCTATAACAATATTATGTTATTATTATGGCATATCAATACGTTGTATCGCTCTCCGTTGCGTTCGTTTTTAGAAAATATTTTAAAATTAAAATCATCGAGCGTGAAATCCATTACGGTTTCGGATTTAGACTTACACATTTGATGGCGACAATTACGAAGAAATATGAATCAAATAGGAGTGAAGACTGCTCTCCAGATCAATAAATAGTAAAGAGTTGACGAAAAATAGTAAATTATGTATTTTTTTTTTAATGTGAATCTATTTCGGAATTTCTTTATGATAGCTTACCAACTTTTGCATATTTTGCTTCCATGTGTTACATGCGGTACGTGCTTCCGGTTTCAGAAATGATAGCTAAAATTGCAAGTATTTTGATTATTTCTCGTAAAATGCATTATTTTGCTATTGAATGGTTTACCTAGAATGTATATCAGTTCAGATTTTGCGTATCATCCAATATTTGTCATTTTTCGCAGTGTTTGTTGACTTTGTTCAACTCAACAAATCGCGAGTTAGGCCACGCCCAAACGTATCACTGACGTTTGTCAGCTGTTTGTCGGCTTGTCAATGTGTCGGAAAGTTTATCAAACGAAATCATTTCCAAACTCTTTAAAAATGAAATTCTTTTTACAAAGATTTATACATACGGGTCAATAATTCTAGAAAATTAAGTTAGATGTAACAAAATGATTGTAATAGTCTAACGGGATAACTATGCATGTGGAGTTGTTTGTTTACCGCCGTTGCCATGATAGTACAAGTTTCATCCAATCGATGATGTTACGATTCAGATTGTTTTTGTTTACAATTAGTTACACCGAAAGTTGCTAATTTTTAGAAATTAAGGAACATGAGTGTTTTCCTTTCGTCAGCAAACACAAAATTAAAAAAGCGGACTGCATGCCGCTCAACGTGAAGTGCCAAAAGTCAACAATGGCCGTTTCTGGTAGTTGTGTGCCGAGAGGTTTGGCCGAAACATATTCTAACTCGCGATATTTTCTTTTTGAGGTAAAAAAATGACTGAACGTTTTGATATTGAGCAAGCTGAGCATTTATGCATGTCATACGTAATTTAAATGTTACGCAAAGCCTTCTTGGTCAATAGATATGGCGAGTTTTATTTTGGGGTGTTGTTATGCTATTCGCCTGTCGAATGGGTTCGACATCAGATGCACGGGGATGGACACCTCTGTCGAATGGGTTCGACGTTAGCGTGCAGAGCTTTAATCATGAAGTTTAACAAAATAAACAGACAATGTTTGCACGTAAAGCAGATTATTTATGTGAAACAGACCAAGTCTTGCATTCAGGGACTACAACGATCTTTGCTACTTAAGATTGTTAGTTTCGTTTAGAGCTTACAATGATCTTAGCCTACAGTCGCATTGTGCAAGTGGATGGTGATAGTAGCCTGAGCCTAAGATCACGATCTTAAGGATTTACAATAATTGTAGCGCTCAGATCACTTTGTGCAAGTTGACCCTGGTCCCTCGAACTGACGAGATCTTCAGCCTTATGAAAACGTCCCTGCCTGTGATGTTGGGTCAGTGGGATGCGTGACCGGAGACCAGCCTCACGGAGACGATTACGCACTGAGTAGAAACGTTAACACCAAAGGCGTTATAAGTATAAGTGATTATTCCCCTCTGCGTGTGACGGGTAATTGCAAAACTCTCTCAATAAATCAGGCCAAAACGAAAGAAATAGTTAAAGAACACCCAGAACTCTAATGTGGCTGTTGTTAATCTTTCATGACAGGTGGGTATTCGTGGTATATGTTGTTAAACTGCAAATGCAAATTATGTGGTCCATATAATACATGTGTGATGAAATGGACCGCCGTCTCAGACGTTTACCACGTGCTCGGACTACTGTACAGGAACTGCAAGACAGCCTGGAGGAGATATGGAAATATGAACTCTTTCAGATATGTGTGTCTACTTGGATCAGGTTCGTGTTTTATATCGTGTTGCGGGAACTTTTGTTGCGAAGTATATATACTCTTCAAAACATGAAACGCAAAGCCAGATTTGTGTGACGTAGGAAAATACATATATACGATACCGGGTATTGAGCCAAAATGTTGTGAAGAAAACACTTGTTGTTTGTAGTCATCTCAGTTATCGATACATCGGAAAAGTCCAAGCTGAAGGTCAGCTACCATCAATAACGCGTATGTCCCCCGTTGGAATCGATAGCGACCTGACATCTCCTGCACATGGAAGAGACGACTATGCGAATCACATCCTGGGGAATGGTAGCCAACTCGGCCTGCAACGCCAAAGCATACTGCTGCAAAGTCTGGGGCTGTGGTTGACGTTGGCGTAGCCGTCTATCCAATTCATCCCACAGGTGCTCTATCGGATTCAAATCAGGGAATCTTGAGGGCCAAGGGAGAACATCAACGATGTTGTTGTGGAAACAGGCTCTTGTGATCCGTGCTGTATGCGGTCGAGCGTTGTCCTGCTGGAATACACCGTTGCCATTGGCTGCACTTGGGAGGACGTGTGGTAGAAGAATTTCGTCGATGTATCGTTGAGCCGTAAGATTGCTCAAACCTGTCCTGCCATGATGAATGATAGTCGCCTACATCATAACGCTACCCCCACCAAACCTGTCTACTTCCTGTACTCAGTTTCTGGCGTAAGGTCCCCCCGACGTCTGTAGACCCGTGCTCGTCACTGAACCAGATATCTCTTCATTGCAGCTGAGGCCATACCCTGTGTTGACGACACCAATGCAGTCGTTGTTGACGATGTTGTCGAGTCAATATGACGCGTCGAACGGGACGTCTCGCTCGTAGACCTGCTGCTCTTAAACGGTTTCGTACGGTGTGGTCAGAGATACAGCGCTGTCCGGGTATTTGGGATGCGGTTGGGTTGGCTGTGGTCGTCCTTTCACGTAGGTGGCACAGTCGGATGTAGCGATCTTGGACAGGGGGTGGTTACTCTTGGTCGTCCCGACATTGGCCGATCACGTGTTGTCCCCACGTGTTGAAGCCGATACATTGAAAACACGGGGTTCCCTATGCCTGCAAAGCGGCCTATGACGTTGTTTCTTTGCACTTCTGTTAATCTTGAATTGGCATGTTGTTGAACTGTCATTGTTCGATTGACGCAGGTGCCAGGCAATAAAAAACCTGCGCTTTAATGCCATTCATAGTGCTGCTGTACGTGCAGTGCATGCAGCTCCATGACCCTTTTGTTAATGCACTGAGTGCGTTTTTCCGAATCGTACGCGTTTCGCGCCTAATGATTTGCATGTCCTTGTTGTGATCATTTTGATACGGGAAATGTTGTTTTAAGGCCAAATATATCCGTTTTGCGTTTCTTGTTTTTAACAGTATATAAACATTAACATTTATCAATACTCTGAGAAAAAGTATCTATTTAATATTCATTGCATGATTCCTTACTACCCTTTAGTTATCTCAGACCTTCAGAAGCCTCTTCCAATGTCAAAAACCTTATTTTTGGGTCCTCACATTCAGCTAGGTACCGCTAATAACAACATTAGCGTTCAGATGCCATTGTGGCTGAAACGTTATAACATTATGATGAAAGTCATAATCAGTATGATGATTTAGTTGAACACAGGTGCCGTCAGAATGGCAAATAACATCAAGGATTGTCCGGATCAAGCTGAGAGGACACACGGCTCAGTCCTGTGGGGACATGGGTATCTACACAACCTGACACGCAGTGACCACATGCAGTGAAGTGCATGACCCATGTCCACTTGCGATTTCCGACATGGGCCTGTTTCACGCCGATGCTTGGACCTCGGTATGGGTGTGGTCACAGGAACTCGCTGACAGCATGTATAGCATAATATAGTCGTAAATATAGAAAAATATATATAAAATCACACCCTCTATACATATAGACAAGTGTCAATTGTATAGAGTGGCTGAAATGTTTTTCTCTTCGAATATATTGTCCTATACACATTATCATCGAAGCTTATTATTTATCAACGGAGATAGAGGCTTTTTTACCATTTTACCTGACATACTCATGAGTGGCATCAGAACTTCCCATTGTAGCTACCAGCCTGGGAACTGTTGCATGATAGAGAATAGTTAATCTTTTAAATTCTTCTCCACTTACCGCCTCCGTGCCCTAGACGTAGAGCGTCAGCCCGGTAAGTGGAAGCGCCGGGGTTTGATACCCGGCTGCGTTATACCAAAAGACGTTACTTGTTGTTACTCTGTCTGGCTCTCGGTATTAAGGGGCTAACACTGGTCGGCTCGGAGTCCAGATACCGTGTCTGATTTGTGTATTCATGCTGGCACTATAAATCGGCATCAGTCCGGACTATTACAAGCAGCCACACACACGTGCACCCTCATCGCTATATAAGTGCTATAATCTTGGACGCGACGTTAAACCCAATTTCACCTCACCTCACCTCCTTCTATACTTCGAGAAAGCACCCGTCTTCCTAATGTAGAAGCCTTGGCGATGAGAGAGCAAGGCCTGGTCACACGCATAACGCATCCGTTTGCCAGGCTTGATTCAACGTGGCGTTGACGTCTAGCGTGGTTCAACGCAGGTTGGACATGCGTGGTCAACGGGTTTGCAACCCAGGTGCAACCCATGCAACCCAGGTGCATCCGTGTTACATACGTAAACCATGTGCTATCAACACGTGTACTGAGACTGAACGTCTTGGCAGTAGCGTCGTTGTATTCAAACAAACAAACTGGAAATCATACTCTATAATAGAAGAGAAGACACATTACCTTCCCCAGCAGTCAGAGCGAACATCAACACGAACAACAGCGTGGCGAACATCTTTTACTGCCTATTCCTGCACCACTGTATTTCAGCTGCGCCAGTCTCTGCCACATATCTCATTAGTAAAAGCTTACATTATATACTATTGTACAACCCCCGCTCCCACTCCTTGATTTCACACGTTGACGGTGAATCGTGCCTGTGGGTGTGAACATACGTTACGTCCTGTATATTGGCGTGAAAATGGAAGTCTCGATAACCACAGCTGATATCGACAATCTGATATCTCATCAGTACAATATATGTTTACTGTTATCCTCCCCCACCCCCCACCCAACACCCTCTCCATCCCTTGATTTCACACGTTGACGGTGAATCATGACTGTGGGTGTAAACATACGTTACGTCCTGTATGTCCACAGCTGATTATGTTGGATATCACGTAACGCATGGAGTCACCCTCAAAACAGTATCGGTAAAGTTTGGTGTTGGAGCATGATGGCAGTATCACCCGTGTCCGTAACATCTGGATGTTGTTCGAGATAATATTTGTTGAGTGTGTGAACATCATTTACAACAGGATGCAGAGGTGGGTGTGACTGACAAAGGTATCATTCACGTGCATTGTTAATTCTACATGTGACATGTACCATGATATGTCCGAGCGTCGTATTGTTTTCTGGTAGTGTACAACGTATTTTATTGTCGAGCAATGGTTCTAACTGTGTTACATTGTTTCTGGTTGAGAGTCGGTAGACGCTCATTGCATTGTGTTTTGGGGATCGATCAGTCGTCAGGCATTTACTATATTGAGATGGCAGTGTGGTCTATTCCAAATCTAAAAAATTCCAAATTCTATATGAGCAACCCCTAAAGCCCCCTCTTGGGTTGCACACACCACTTTCGCCCCTTTCGGAACCACATTAAATGGCCTGGTCGGGCCCGTGTGCGAAATACGCATCAGTCGGAAAGCGCACGTTAAATCTCCAAAGTGAGTGAGTGAGTGAGTGAGTGAGTGAGTGAGTGGTTGGGTGGTTGGGTGAGTGAGTGAGTGAGTGAGTGAGTGAGTGAGTGAGTGAGTGAGTGAGTGAGTGAGTGAGTTAACGCCCGGGCCGTTATGCCGCGGACGGTGATAGTATCTTAAAGAAACATATGGAAAGTTATGTTATAACAGTAACTATCTAGTGCTGCTATGTATATGTATGTATGTATGTATGTGTGTGTGTGTGTGTGTGTGTGTGTGTGTGTGTGTGTGTGTGTGTGTGTGTGTGTGTGTGTGTGTGTGTGTGTGTGTGTGTGTGTGTGTGTGTATGTATGTATGTATGTATGTATGTACAAAATGGACAAAATGGACAAAATATCATCCATTCAAAACAATCCAAAACTTGGAAATACCTCCATTCCAAATGGAAATATGACCATTCCAAAATTTGTCAAGGTCATATTTCCAAGCTTGGATTTGTTTGGATTTGTTTGGATATGTTTGGATACAAAATGTCATAATCATATCTGTTAAACGTTGTACAACTTTTGACCTTATGTGAGATTAGTAATGACATGAAAGTAAATAATTAGGAGTATTTTGGCACTATTTACCACGAAAAGACCAAATCATGAGCAAATTTAACTAAAAGGACTTCTGTCATTTAAAGTGGCTACTCTTTATATTTAATTTCTTATCTTCCTTGTCTATAATCATATGACATTGACTATGAACTTTGAACAATTAATATTTTGTTTTCCTATACCGACTTACGGTTGTCTCTCGTGAAAAGAGGGCCTCATTATTATAATTTGAACTAATATACATATGTACAGAATAGTACTAGGTATAAATGAATTTCAGTAAGTGTTCTTACAAGAATATGAACTTCGAATTATCTCAGAACTATTGCTACACACAGGGCTGGAAATTTTATAATTGGTCTGGAACTATCTGACGGTAAATAAAAAAAGGGAACAAGATTTCGTCAAATGAATAATTGAGCCAGGAATGCAACGATTTAAATGCTGACAAAATGAATAAACATATCTGGAACAGAGTAGACTGTTCATGCGGACAATTATATGCTACGTCTATTGCCAATGAAGTTTATCACCCCATGTTATAGCATTTGTTTCATATAAAAGATAGAAGCCAAATAAATGGGACAATTAGTTGTTATGAATTAGCTTTACCTCTGTGACATATAATGCAACTAAATAAGTTTATGAAATAATCAGTTACAGTAATTAACCCAGTGTCCTTATTTATACACAATTTAATTACGTATTTGGGTACAATATATAATACACATATACACGGAATGATTTCTTACTTTGTCAATTTAATCATAACCCAAATCATACAAATCGAACATGTGAAAATAAAAGTAGTTGCTAACTTTATGATCAAGGGTATAAATACTCAATTGTATCTATTAATCCTAATAGTATAACAATAAATCATGTGTATTTACTGAACATATTTAGATACATCCGGATCTACGACCGCAGTCATATAATCAATCAAGGAAAGTATATTAGATTGGATAAAAAAATGTGCTATCACTAAAACAAAATTTTCCGTTATCCACGTAAGCCTAAACCTGGGAGAAATAAAGTTCTGTTCTGTTCTGAAGACGCCGTCATGATTAGTTGGCGCCAGTCTAGACTGTCCAATCAACGTGAATATACAAACCGTATGTTACTTGACCAGTTTATGACACCTGTTAAACTCAAAGTGCCCCTGGTCCTCCACCCACAATGTGTAATACTTTAGCGCACTTGATTGTTTTATTTGCAGTTATATCACTGTTAGGCTGAGTGATGAGAGAATACATTTTGTTTATGTTAACGATCGTTTCCATGTTCAACGTGGTAACCTTATAAGTGACTAACTTTTCTATCATGATGAAATGAAACATATTAAAATAATCAGAGGGACTGACGATCGCATTTTTCGCATAAATGTCATGCTCGCATTAATTTCATGATTCACTGAAGATAGATTTGAACATTTCTGAGCAACGATCATGTTTGGGTAAGGGAAGTCATCGTGTCTCCGCTTGCAATTGGATTCAATCGGGCGGGCAGTTTCGAGATCGCAGCTTGAGTGTTCGGTACGGCCGAAAGGCGGCATCCGTGTTGTTCACGCTCCGCTGATCACGGGGCCTCATTTGTCTGTATTCTGCTTATGAGCTGGGATGCGCATGAAACATGGGTGTCAAAACGAATATATTTACCAATTATATGTACGGTCAATTAGCCAGTTCAAGAGACAATACCCTGGTTCTACCACCTTTAGGTGTAAGTACGTCGCATGCCCCTGGTTCACGGTTCGTCTGATCTCCCGTCATAAAACCACGATGTTTATTTACCTGGAGCCTCAGACAGCGCCGACTTCCTGTGTACATGTACGTACATGGCAATAAATGGTTTGACAGTTGTTTGACGGAATCAGTCAATAATTATTGACACAGTGATGTAATTAACATTTGTCACTATTCACAACTCCTATTTTGATTTTCTATTGTTCAGCTGTATTTTCGATCAGGCTTTTATGTATAAAAAATCTTCTCTAGCATTTATAAACCAAACCTAAAAACATGATATAAGAACAATTGTGTTTTTAAAACGTAAGTGTTCTAACAATCATGCAAGTAAGATTTCAGCCGTAATATTACTTTACTTACTCCACAGATTACACATCTTTTATGCTGCAAACGCAGCGAATGTAATGCTACTATGTCACAGCTGCCTCGGTAATTAAGGGCTGGAATGTTTTTATGAAGGCAGTTAGAGCAGCCTTCTAGACGACTGTCTGATATATAATGAAATGGCAGCTGCCATCCAGCCGAATACTACCGAGACCTATTATTGACTTGTCGAGTCAAGTGCGGGTCTCTCTCTCACCTTCGGGAGAATGCGACTGTAAAAGCCCCTCGCTAGACAGACAAGTAGTGCATGTTTGAGATAAGTTTATTATTTATTATATATAGTTTAAACTGAATAGATAATTCATAGCCTTTTTATTGTTCAAATTACTAATAAAACATATTTTAACTTGTTCCTTCTAAACATACTTCCAAACCATTCCAAGTCAAGGTTGGAAAGGTTGGAATGAGCGATCTTTCCAAAGCAATCCAACGTTCATGCCAAATTGGAATGGACGCTCCTTGGTCTTGTGATATGTGTGTGTGTGTGTGTGTGTGTGTGTGTGTGTGTGTGTGTGTGTGTGTGTGTGTGTGTGTGTGTGTGTGTATGTATGTATGTATGTATTGTGACGTCATTGGTTACCATGACAGACACTCGCGTAGAAAAGCTTTCTATGGAGGTGATTCGCTAGATAGAGGAAAACATTAGAGAAGCAACAATGTTGACTTTACTGCATTTAGAATTTAAAATATTGATCAGCATCACCCATTACCGGTAAAGTGTTATTTACATTATCAGCTTAAGGAAAAACATGGTACAAGTTCATTCCTGCCGGGGACAAATGTGTGTAGTTTCGTAGGAGCCAAGGATTCTTATCGGTGTCAATCGGCCATGATGTTTTTAAAATATACTGTAATAAGCTACATGGTATCTCACTCTTACTCATTCTAGCCAGTTCATTGTGCACACGCACCTGCAATTTGTCTTATCTCCATTTCGGACATCTCTAACCTGTGACACCAAAGAACAATTGCGTAACAATTGTCCCACTAGTCTTTGCCAAGTATTCTCGTGTATGAGTCTTCAACTGAAACATCGTGGATTCAGTATAATCGTTTCTATGAATGTATAGGATGTTATTACAGTTCAACTCAAAGTACATTTCAGTGCTGTTTTATCTTCTGTGATCTTCATTATTACACTAATTCTGAATAATGTGGTGGCACATTGTCCTGAGTACAGCGCACAGGTCACAAATCAGGTGAAGTGAGTTGGAGAGTAGTTGGATGGGTGACCCTTTCCGGCAGCTGGACTCCTGAGAGTTTCTAGGGCCCTGTCCCACACTGGAGAACATGTGTAGCATGGGTGGTGTCACCCTGGGCAAGTGACTGTGTTCAGAATAAGGCTCTGTTCACCCAGCAGTGAATGGGTACTTGCTTGATAACAGTACACTGATCTACACCGAAACGTCACTA